CAGAGTGACATTGGCGTGCATGTTAATAGATCCTTGAAAGTAGCAGGAAGGGTAGAAAGGGTGGTTAAGAAGGTACATGAATTCTTGTCTTTATTAGTTAAGGCATCAAATACAAGAGCAAGGAGATTGTGTCAGAGCTGGATTTATAATGTTAGTTAGGCCACCGCTGGAGTACTGTGTGCAGTTCTGGTGACCACACTATAGGAAGAAGGTGACTGCATTAAGGTACAGACAAGATTCACCAAGATGATAACTGGGCTGGAGCAATTCAGTTGTGAAGAGAGACTGAATAAGCTAGAGTTTTCCTTAGAGTAGAGAAGGCTGAAGGGGATTTAACTGAGGTGTACAAAGTTCTAGGAGGCAATTGACTGAGTAAGATACGGACAACTTTTCTCCTTAGTAGAGAGGTCATTAACCAGGAATAGCAGGTTTAAAGTAAGGGGCAGAAAGTTTAAGGGGGATTTGAGGAAAAAAAAACATTCAGAGAGTTGTAGATGTCTGGAACTCACTGCCTGAAAGGGTGGTAGGGGCCTGAACTTTCAAGACTATTGATAGGTGCACTTGAAATGCCATAGAATACAAGGCTATAAGCCAAGTGCTGTAAAATGGATGTTCGATGACCACCAGAGTGGGAAGGATGGACTTGAAAAGTCCAATTTCCTGCTGTAAAGACTGTATGACTCTATTTCAAAATGAACTTTAAGCTGTATCAATTACTGAATGTGGGAACATGGACTTTTTAGCACCTTCCTGGGAATCACATCGCAAAATGCGATAATAGAAGGTAAAGAGGATGACAAAGAGAAAGCAAAAAGATTAAAAGCAATAAAGATGGATTATGGGTATGTTCAAAGAACTAGGTTTTCAAACGTTTTGTAAGATATCGAGAGTGAGTCAAAATATTTTGGGAAAAAAATCTTTAAATAGCAAGACATAGTGGGAGTAAAATTTGTCTTGGTTGATGTTCGATTTAGATCATGTCTGATTTTCTTTGCTCAGTCAAAAGAAAATCTAGGTGTATGAAAAATGGACTACCGTGATATACTTGTTCTGAGGAAGGGTCACCGGTCCTGAAATGTTAACTCTGATTTCTCTTCACAGATGCTGTCAGACCTGCTGAGCTTTTCCAGCAATTTCTATTTTTGTACCATGAAGTACTTGTTTTGTTTTACAACCCAAGACAGATTTCATCTCTTGTGACTGAGGCAGAAGCTTCAAATACAGAATAGAGAGAGATAGTAACAAAATAACCATTTATCCAGATTAGAGAAGCTGGGCATGAAAGCTGGGATATGTAACTGGAAGAGATCATGCTACAACCATTGGCCTTTCCAAAGGTCTCAATAGAAGTATTTGATTGATGTCAGGTAAGTGCAGTTGGAAAGAAAAAATGCCAATGGTAGCTGTGAATTTCCAGAGAACTGCTTAATGCAGGTAACATAGCAAGATGAATAGACCATTCAGCCCATTGGCCCTTGTCCACCGATCAAGATTATCATTGATCAATTGAATGTTTCAATTATTTTACCAACACTATTCCTATACTCCTTTACATCATTGGTAATCAGAAATCCAGCAATTTCCACCTCAAACATACTCTAATCCTAATTTTCCACAGTCCTCAGGGTTGAGAACTTCAAAAGTTCACAACCCTAATTTTTTAAAACCCTAAAATTCACAGCTCCCTTATTTTAAAATCATGTTGCCTGATTCTAGATTCCGCAATCAGGGGAAACTTCTTGCCTGCATTGACCTAGCCTTTTAAGTGTTTTATAAGATTTGATGAAATCACCCCTGATTCTTTGAATCTGCAGAATACAGGTCCTGTTACTCAATGTTTCTTCATGGAAAAATCCTGCCATCCATAAATAAATCTGGCGAACTTTTGTCGCACAACTTCTATGGCAAAAATATCCTTCCTGAGGTAAGGAGATCAAAACTACATGCAGTACGCCAGGTGCGATTTAACCAAGGCTTCTACATAACTGAAGCAAGACTTCACTAGTCCTGTACTCAGATCCTCTTGTTCTAAAGGCTAACATTCTAGTAGCCTCCCGAATAGCTTGCTAAACTCGCGTACTAGCCTTCAGTGGCTTATTAAAAAGGATCCCTTATAATAATCTATATTTCTATTTTTTTTAAAAATTCATTTACAGGATGAGGGCAGCACTGGCTAGGTAAGGCATCAAACCCAACCCAACTACCTGGAAAACGAGAGAACTTAAAAAACGAAATGCTGTTCTTGAGAAATCAAGATCCGCTGCAATTGTTTTGCACTGAATGACATAGAGTGTTGGGTTTCTATCTTAGCTCAGACTACAATATTGTGTTCAATATTTTACAAGTCAATGTGTCAGAGCATCTGAGAAGATTAACTCATTTCTGGAGACAAAAGACATTCACCACTCCTTGCACTTTATGTGAAGAATATCACTTTAAGAATTGGATTGGAGTTTATAGAGAGTATGGCCAGTGTTTGAAATAATCTAATGTCCTACAAGCTCCAGGAATACCTGTTTTGCTGGAATGAAGTGTGGAAAAGACTATTTCTTTGGGAGCCAGACGAGTCCCAGACTGAATTGATGTAAGGGTAGGTAAATATAATTCAGTTTTTCTTCATAATCATTGGGAACTAAGGAGCAGAACTTTCTTTCAGAAGATTAAATGCATAAAATGGAATTCATAATCATGTGGATTTTTCATGGTCTGTCAAAGCATGGTGATGATCCATATAGACCTTCCTCCATTGCATCATCTTATGATCCTTTGCTTTTGTGAACAAATGTGAAGGTTGGCACTACTAAGTGAGAAACATTTCATTTTTTTTCTCACCATTTTCTGTAGAATATTCTTTATTTTGGGAAGCAAGAGCCTACTAACAGAGTAAACAGTCAGCTCATTGTTAGATGATGCATTTCCTAAGCCCAGCTCTAATATTGAAATATTCAGCTGATAATAGCCTATTATTTTCACAAAAAAAAAATTCTAATCATGAAAGCATAAGAAAAGTAAATGCAGGTCAGTTTGGAAAATATCAGAACAATTATTCAAATTCCCAGTAGGAATCTGCTGTATATTTACACAACATATAAAGTGAAGCAGGCAACTTGATCTACAGTAAAACATCAGTTGGTCATATTATTAGGAGCTGATGTTACCAGATTGAATCATTTCTAAATAAAAACTGAAAGAACCGTGGATGTTGGAAATCAAAAACAAAAACAGGAATTCCAGAGGTTCTGAGGAAGACATTAACTCTGAATCCTCCCCACAGATGCTGCCAGAATTGCTGAGCTCCTCCATCAATTTCTGTCTCTTGCTTATGAATAATTTCTAGGTTGGTCATGAGAGATTTTCAGTAATTTGGATTGTAAATGGTTAACAGATATCTTCTTGATCTTTTTGTTGACATTTTTATCACAAGTGCTACGTCAGGTTTTTGGTTCTTAAGGGATTGAAATGAAATGCGCCAGTTAAATAATTATATGATTCTTCAGGAACTGAGCTGTTCAGCAATGTGGTGGCTGCTGTACCTATTAAATATAGAAATGGATAAGTGGTATGAATCTGCTAGAATTGGAAAATGATGATACATAAATCAGAGAAGGTTCCTAGGCCTGGGCATAGTGGATCACAAGGATCCAATACACACATGGAAGTCCAACATAAATCCAAAGCTGTAAGAGTTCCTGTCCAGTTCACATTATCTTAAGGAAAGTTGGGCAAGCTTTTCACAGTCTGATTTTCCTGTGCTTGCTGTTCCTCGATAATTCATCAGTCTCAGATAAAGACAGTTAACAATGTGTCTTAATTATTTACAAATCAGTGTGCTGGTCTAGTGTGTCTTTGTGCTAGGAATAAAGAGATTGATGAACTGTTTTTGTGTTTCTGTGTTGAAGTTTCACCACCCCTTCCCTCAAAATGTTATAATTCAGTGGAAACTTTGGCTTCACAATAAGATACTGAGCTTTGGATACTTAATCTAAAGCAAGAGTGAGGGTAATGAAATTCATTTAGTGAATTGAAGAAACAGGACCAAATCCCAATCAGTAGCACCTTTGAAACCCACAACCTCTACCATCTAGAAGGACAAGGGCAGCAGATATATGGCAACACATCACCAGCAAGTTCCCTCCAAGACATACAGCATCCTACTGGACTTGAAACTATATCACTGTTCCATCACTGTCATTGGGTTAAAATCCTGAAACTCCCTTCTTTGCACCTCCTCCGTAACAGGAGACTAAAGCAGTTCAAGAAAATAGCTTACCACCATCTTCTCCAGAGACAATTAGGATTAGGCAAATGAGGCTAACTCAGCTAGCAACACCTACACCTTATAAAAGAATAGATCAAAATGTATGGAGATAAAGAGGCGAACACTCTTTAGCTTGAGCTCAGCAACTGTAACACATGATTCTCTGCAAACTATGCATGGACATGTGTGTTATCCCCAAGTATCTTTTCTCAAGAATCGCCATTTATAAACAAAGACCTGATATCTGGAATCTGCACAGAAGACGGAAAGAGAGAAAGCAATAGTGTCAAAAATACTTTTTTTAAAATATGCAGTACGATGTAGGGAATGTAGCAGCTAATATATGCACAGCAAGCTTCCAGGACAATCAGGCGAAAATGACCAGATTATCAGGTTTTAAATATTAGTTGAGAATTAAGCATTCATCATGACAACAGGTAAAACTCGTCTGCTCCTCTTTGAAGTAGTGACATGGCATTTTATTTTGCCACCTGTAAGGTCCTTTGGTTTGGGGTAGTAGGAACTGCAGATGCTGGAGAATCTGAGACAACAAGGTGCAGGGCTGGATGAACACAGCAGGCCAAGCAGCATCATAGGAGCAGATGAAAGGTCCTTTGGTTTACTGTCTCAACTCTTGTTAATTTCAACAATGGGGAAAAAGTGCTGTGATAGACAATTTAAAACGAATACACCATTGTGCAATGACAATCTCTTATTGATAAAAGATAATAAATTAGCTTACGGTATTTGTAGAGTTCCCATTTAAATGTAAACCGCTATCAAACAGAGGAGAGGATGCCCCACTGCTATGGTCACTGGACGGCCCTGGTGAGCCTGCAAAATGAAAAAGAAAATACATTTTTCATAATTAGGAGCAATTAAGTGAGCAAGAGATTAATTCAGCATTTTATAACCTTATTGTAATCATAGAATCCCTACAGTGTGGAAACAGGCCATTCAGCCTATCGAGTCCACACCGACCCTCTGAATAGCATTTCACCCAGACCCACCCCATCCCTGTAACCCTGCATTTCCCCTGGCTAATGCACCTAGCCTACACATCACTGGACACTTTGGACAATTTAACATGGCCAATCCACCTAAACTACACATCTTGGACTGTGGGAGGAAACCCACACAGAACCGGGGAGAATGTGCAAACTCCACACAGACTTCTTTTACTTCACAAACATACTTAATTCATAAAAAAACACATCTTTATATGTACACTCCACAAAGACAGTGGCCCAAGAGTGGAATCAAACCTGGGTCACCGGTGCTGTGAAGCAGCAGGGTTAACCGCTGAGCCACCATGCTGCCCCTTGTCAGTCAGCATCATCACAATCAGTGACATGATATGGTTGGACAGGACCTTCGGCCCAACAAGTCCACACTGACCCTCAGAGCATCCCATCCCCCTACAACCCACCTAATCTACACATCCCTGAACACTATGGGTAATTTAACATGGCCAAGCCACCGAGCCTGCACATCTTTGGACTGTGGAGGAAAACAGAGCAAACCCGGAGGAAACCCATGCAGACACAGGGAGAATGTGCAAACTCCACACAGACAGTCACCCGAGGTTGGGATCGAACCCGGGTCCCTGGCACTGTGAGGCAGCAGTGCTAACCACTGAGCCACCATGTTATGTGGAAGATGATTTTGCCTTCTCCTTTTGAAACACAAATACAATTCCAAAAGTGGATTGCTATTGTTAGACAGTTACAATGAAAAGTCTGGCCATTTGGAAATCATGTCTTTCCTTCTTTTCACTTCACCTTTCCAATATCGATTTCTTTCAGATTTCATTTTTGTGCATAAATGAACAAACCTGACAGGCAAATGCAGGTAAATATTTTGGGTAATTACTAATGTGCAATTGGGGAGTGACATTTTATTTTGTATGTCACAACTCCAATACACATAGAATATTGGAAATGTATAGTTAAGGATTACAGTGACATCTAGTCAAAATCCAAAGTAAATTCATTTGAAGTTTACTTAACTTCATTCTCTGTATTCTTCAAACTGTATTCAAAATACTCATCACAAGACTTAACAGCAGATTATTTTGATGTTTAAGTCTGTCATCAACAGTTGGAAAATATATGTAAGTTCTCTTAGGCTGTTGTTCAAAAGTTGATAGAAAAAGGCAACACTGTGACTTGTATGTTCAATACTAATGTATAGCCAGTGTGAAAGAAAATAAAGTGAATTTTTCTTCAGTCACTGCCAATTACCAACTTACCAGACAGGAAAATGACAACTGGATTCTAGAATCATTGTGATTACAATGCACTACTGTGTTCTGCTGATGCTCCGCAGAATGGAATTTTCCTGAAAACGTACTCGACTGCGCAATCTAACATTTTGTAAAATATCATTAAATGCCTATCCTGGTTCTGCTTGTTTCATGAACTAGTTACCATGAACAATGGAGGCTTACACCATTTGGATTATCAAGTCTTTGCTAAGCAATCCAGAACTGTTCAGTGTCCTGTCCTTACTTGCACTTGTCATTGCTGAGAAGTCCCAAGTAAATTTTATGTAACATTTTCTCATGTGAATGTTGAGAGGTCAGGCATCATTTGGAGGACGAAATAGTGTCCAATGTGCATGTACACACTTGTGCAGCAAATCACACTGAACAACATCTTAATGGTCAGTGGTGTGCTGCAAGGATCAGTTCTAGGTCCACTGTTGTTTGTCATTTATATTAATAATTTGGATGAGAATATAGGAGGCACGGTTAATAAGTTTGCGGATGATACCAAAATCAGTGGTATAGTTGACAGTGAAGGAGCTTGTCCAAGAGTAGAATGAGATCTTGATCAGATGGTCCAATGGCCCGGATATTGGCAGATGGAGTTTAATTTTCATAAATGCGATATGTTGCATTTTGCTAAGGCAAACCAGGCGCTGCTTACACAGTTACTGGTAGGATCCTGGGGAATGTTGTTGAACAGAGGGACCTAGGGGTGCAGGTTCATTGTTCCTGAATGTGCCGTAGCAAGTAGACAGGGTGGTGAAGAAGGTGTTTGGTGTGCTTGCCTTTGTTGAGAATAGGAGTTGGGATGTCATGCCGCAGCTGTACAAGGCATTGGCGTGGCCACTTTTAGAGTAGTGTGTACAAATCTGGTTACCCTTCTTTACAAAGGATGTTGTTAAATTGGAAAAGGTGCAGAAAACATTTACAAGGATGTTGCTGGACATTTAGTTATAAGGAAAGACTGGATAGGCTGGGATTTTTTTCCTTGGAGCATAGGATGTTGACGGGTGTCCTTATAGAGGTTTATAAAATCATGAGGGGCATGGATAGGTTGAATAGCTAAGGCCTTTATTCCAGGGTATGGGAGTCCAAAACTAGAGGGCATAGGTTTAAGATGAGAGGGGAAAGATTTAAAAGGGACCTGACGATTAACTTTTTTACACAGAGGGTGATGAGTTTATGGAATGAGCTGCCAGAGGAAGTGATAGAGGTGGGTATAATTACAACATTTAAGAGACAATTGGACAGGTACACGAATAGGAAATGTTTTCAGGGATATGGGCCAAACACAGGCAAGCCATGCTGGTTCAGTTTAGGAAAGCTGGTAGGCATGGACAAGTTGTACTGAAGGGTCTGTTTCCATGATGTATGATTCTATGACTCTGTCAGGGCCTTAGTGTGTACAGTTAGACTACACTGGGAGAATTGCAGAGCACATTGGTTATAATTTTAAATAGTATGTAATACTGAGTTGATACCAGCAGTGTCATGTTGAAAATCTAAATTCCAGTCAAGCCTTTCTCTTAACCTGCACCATGGAAGATGCCAGTCAGCAGCAGGAATTGGCAAGCTGTTTGTTTTCTGATTGTTGCTTTGATTCTACAAATATTTTGTCCTTACTATGGCTCTTTCAAGTTGTAAAGATCTACAAGGGGTGTGACAGGACCTTCTGAATTAACTGTCTTCTTCTGCAGAAACCAGCTGCAAAATTAGATCGACCACTTCGAATACAATGTGACTGGGAAAATCAACAGAGGCTTGGCAGAGTGGGACAACTGCTGGTGAAGGGAGTAAGAGGAGACGAAACTACTCAGAAAGTGACCTTATTCACCCAGGATGCTGAGGGAGCAATTTTCCAACCTAAAGTTCTGCAAGGGACAAGATGCAAAACATGTATGTTCAATTAAATCTGACCCCGCTACATCTACAACTGCAAGTTCAATGCAGGGTAAAGCCTGCATTGACAATGGTTGTGAGTGTGCTTTTATTTTATTCTTTCATCAGATGTCAGCATGGTTATCAAGGCCAGAGATTGTTGCGCATCCCCAATTATCCTCTGCAGTCCTACAGTGTAGGTGCACTTGCAGAGCTATCGGGAAGGAAGTTCCAGCATCCCGATCCAGCAACAGTGAATGAATGGAGAGACAAGTTCCAAGTCAGGACGGTGAGTGGCTCAGAAGAGAATGTGCAAGTGGAGGTGTTCCTATGAACCAGCTGCTCCTTCTCTTTCTGGATAGCAGATGTCACACGTTTGCAAGGAGCTGACAACGGAGGTTTGGCAAGTTGCTGTGAGTCAACCACAATTCTCACGAGCTGCTTCAGTCACTGTACACTACCCCTTTAAGACGTGTTGGCAAACATTAGGTGGAAGTTACAACCCTGGATCTACTGCAGATGTGTGTAGCAAATGAACAAAGCAATTAGTGTTGTATGCACTTGGAAATCATTGCAATGAGCAGCCTGCACAAAGTTATTCTGATGCTCAGATCACATTGAGTGGACACAGGTTAATTGAACATTGCAATTTCTTGTCTGCTTTCAGGGACAATCTAATTTATACCCTGTAGAGATTATCTGTGAATGGGAATTGTTACTGCAGATTTTAATTTTGTTTTTCTCGTCCAGTGAACACATCTTGCTCAGCACCGTCCAATACATTTATACATTGTCTTCTGTTCACTTCAATTAAATTAAATGCTAAACTGCCTTCTCAAAAACTAGGTACCAGACAGAAAGAGTGCATGAAAAATTAGACTCGAATTTGATGGATATATTGTCATCAACCTGTTCAGGGATGTTATTGCACACACCTGAAGCGTATGGGACTTGAACTAGGAATTCCTGCCCAGAAATAGGAGCACTACCACTGTGCCACAAGAATTTGATGGAATTGGTCACATGAATGCCTTGTCCCTCATTGCTGAGTCTGCATTACAGGGCTTTTCCATGGGAATAGGGTTCAGAAACCCAAGGGCAGCACAGGCTTAACAACCAGTTGACAAAAGACTCCTTGTAGAAAAAGAAGACTCTCGGATTCTAAACCCTTTCTCCTTGAGGTTTGTCCTCCTCAATCGCCAGTTTGAGAGGGGTTCAGTTGTCAGGTACCTTTGTCAGGTAGCCCTGCACTTGAGCACTTTTCCATGGAGATTGCACCAATTACAGGTACAACTCCTGCTCAAGGGAAGCTTCAGAAACACCAGAGTAACATACTAGTCTATAAGTACATCTGCACTTTGTAGACTCTGTGACCGATTCACAGAACATCTGCGCTCTGTACACTGTAATCAACAGCACCTTCCAGTCACCAACCATTTTAACTCCCCCTCCCACTCCCTGGGTGACAGGTCCATCCTGGGCCTCCTCCAGTGTCACAATGATGCCACATGTAAACTGGAGGAACCACATCTCACATTCTGCCTTTGGACCTTACAGCCAGATGGCCTCAACATATTATTCACCAGTTTCAAAATCTCCCCACCCCTGGCCTCATCCCATGTCAAACCTTCCCTCTTATCCCCGCCTCCTTGACCTGACACAACCCGTCCATCTTCTTTCTCACCTATCCGCCCCACCCTTCCCACGACCTAACTCCACAACTCCCTACCTGCACCTCCGTATCATCATCTCACATACCTCCCCCCAGCTCCACCAACCCCTATTTATTTCTGAGCTCTCATTCCCCTCCCCAGTCCTGATAAAGGGTGTAAACCCAAAATGTCGACTTTCCTGCTCCTCTGATGCTGTCAGACCTACTGTGTTCCTTCAGCTCCACAGTGTATTGACTCTGACTCCAATATCTGCAGTTCTTCCTATCTCTGTACAAATAATTAACTTGTTAGGGAGGATGTTAGCTCAGCAACAGTCAAAACTGCACAATCAAATAAGTTGCTGTTGTGGATAATACAAGGTTCACTGACATGTTACTTTAATGGAGGTAAATTAACCTGAATGGGTGAGCACTTTGCAACAGTAGTGGGCAGAAGAATTCAGATGAATGTGTTGACTATTAATAGTACACTGCATGACTTATACATATTTTTGAAGTGGGCAAACTCCCAAGTGGCATAAGAACATAACATTTCTCAGGTGTTTGAAATATATTTACAATTAAAAATAAATAAATAATACAGGCCACATACTGGTACTAATGTGGGCAACAGTCATTTATAATGATATTCTGTGTAGTGCTGCCTTAAGCCCTTCTGTGTCACATTCAATGAAGCAACCTTTGGAGATTGCTTATGTCAATGCTGTTCTAATTTAGTGGCATCAAAGCAGAAAAGAACAATAAACAATCTATACTGTGCTTCTGTCTTACCTAGTGGGAGTTTAAGGAAGGAAGGGGCTTCCCTGAGGTACTGAACGGTAATGGTAACTTCATCGCCAGCATTTCGCAGGAGGTGCACCTGTCAATGTGATTTATAACATTAGTTTTACTGCAAAGAAGTCACCAAATACAGCAAATGCAACAAAAAAATCATAAGTCTTTCACTGCATCTAATGTTGCCCCATGCAGTCTCTCCTACTAAAACAAAAGGAGATTAAACAAAGTTAAGACAACTGAACTTAACAATCGTTTTCAACACAATTATAAAGCCATAAATAGGAAGTGATGGATGCTTATTCCACCTACTTTACAAACAAAATATTCCACTTTGAAAATATGACAGAAAAGCTCCGACCACATATTTTTCAGATGCCCCAATGGGATGCTTGAAAGGCATGTTATTCCTATTACACATGCAGAACAGAGACCCCCTGTTGATCACAAATGGTGCGCATGAATCTCCTGTAAAAATGTTTGCTTAAAATTAAATTAGATGCATCGTGTAAAATAATTTCCACATGTTTTATTGCTTTTTATTAAACAAGCCTTTTATATATCCTCACTGAGACCTGTTACGTAATTAGTTTCTTTGATTTTTTTTTATGGTATTAGTATGAAACAAATTTAAGGTTAAAGAGTTTTGATGATTTTACTTGATAAACATGCTGTACTGGACCAATACCTTCAAATTGGAGAAGGAATTTTTGATAAGAGTTCCATGCATTTTTCTAGCTTCAGTCACTTATTTATTCAATTACTTAATTATTCTCTCATTTGTACATTTTGATGAATGCTAATTAAGTTGGCTAGGAAGTTTAACAGGAATCTTATTTTGGGCAAACAGGAATGTAAAAGAATGTAAATGATGATTTCACACTCACATGAAATTCCAAGCTGACATGTTAAATTGATAACTGTGTCCAACTGTTCAGGTATACATAAAATAGGAAGTGGTGGTGGGGGGCATCTCATAGAAATCTATAAAGCACTAACAGGACTGGATAGAGTAAATGCAGGAACAATGGTCCCAATGGCCAGGGAGTCCAGAACCAGGGGTCACAGTCTAAAGATATGGGGAAGGCCATTTAGGACTGAGGTGAGGAAAGATTTCTTCATCAAGAATGTGGTAAGTCTCCGCGACACTAGATACAGTTCTTAGGGTTAAAGGGATCAAACGGTATGGGATGAAAGCATGAAAAGGGCACTGAGTTGAATAATCAGCCATTGAACGGATCAGCAATTCAAACAGCAGAATGGCCAATTCCCTGCTCCTGCTCTCTATGTTTCTACCCCATGACACTGATTTATTGTTTCACATTTACCTCTCAACCAACATTTGCAAAAAAAAGAGGTTAATTGGTCATTTATCTAATGTTGGACCTTGATGTTGCAGATACATAAACATATTGTCAAGTAAGACAACATATAATTATAGGTTCATAGAGTCTTAGAGCACAGAAAGAGACCCTTCAGTCCAACTTATCCATGCCAACCAAATTTCCCAAACTAAACTAGTCTCATTTGCCTGCATTTGGCCCATATTCCTCTCAACCTTTCCTGTTCATTCACTTGTCCAAACGTGTTTTAAATGTTGTAATTGTACCTACATCGGCCACTTCCTTTGGCAGAATTGTATTCCAGCACAATCTGTAACCTCATGGCCCAGCATATCCCCCACTCGACTATTTTCATCAAGCCTGAGATCAACTCTGGCTCAATGGAGAATGCAGGAGGGCATGCCAGGAGCAGCACCAAGCATACCTGAAGATGACGTGTCAACCAGGTGAAGCCACCAAACAAGACGGCTTGCATGCCAAACAGCATAAGCAGCAAATGATAGAGGTAATCGATCCCACAAACAGCGGATCAGATCTAAGCTCTGCAGTCCTGCCACATCCAGTCGTGAACAGTAGTGGACAATTACACAACTCACTGGAGGAGGAAAATCCGCAAATATCCCCATCCTCAATAATGGAAGAGCCCAGAACATCACCGGAAAAGATAAGGCTGAGCATTCTTAGCAATCTTCAGCCAGAAGTGCCGAGTAGATGATCCATCTCGGCCTCCTCCAGTGGTCCCCAGCATTACAGATACCAGTCTTCAGTGAATTCAATTGATTCCACCTGATATCAAGAAACAATTGGAGACATTGGATACCACGGGCCCTGACAACATTCCACCTATAGTACTGAAGGCTTGTGCTCCAGAACTTGCCATTTCCCTAGCCAAGCTGTTCCATTAGAGTAACAACACTGGCATCTACTTGGCAATGTGGAAATTTGCCCAGGTATGTCCTGTACATAAAAAGCAGGACAAATCCAACCCAGCCAATTACCGACCCATCAGTCTACTCTCTATCATCAGTAAAGTGATGGAAGGTGTCATCAACAGTGCTATCAAGCAGCACCTGCTCAGAAATAACCTGCTCAGAGCCGGCCAGTTTGGGTTCTGCCAGGGCCACTCAGCTCCTGATCTCACTACAGCTTTGTTCAAACATGGACAAATGAGCTGAATTCCAGAGATGAGGTGAGTGTGACAGCTCTTGACATCAAGGCTGCATTTGACCGAATATGGTACCAAGAAGCCGTAACAAAACTGGAATCAATGGGTATCAGCGGGCAAACTTTCCGGTGGTTGGAGTCATATTCGACACATAGGAAGATAGTCGTGGTTGTTAGAGGTCAGTTATCTCAACTCCAGGGCATCCCTGCAGGAGTTCCTCAGGATGGTGCCCTCAGCCCAACCATCTTCAGCTGCTTCATCAATGACCTACCCTCCATCATAAGGTCAGAGTGGGGATGTTCGCTGATGCTTGCACAATGTTCAGCACCATTTGTGATTCCTCAGATGCTGAAGGAGTCCATGTTCAAATGCAACAAGATGTGGACAATATTCCGCCTTGGGCTAACAAGTGGCAATGAACATTCATGCCACACAAATGCCAGGCTATGACCATAACCAATAAGAGACAATCTAACCACCGCCCCTTGACATTTAACGGTGTTGCCATCACTGAATTCCCCACTATCAACATTCTGGGGGTTACCATTGACAAGAAACTCAACTGGACTCACCACATAAACACAGTGGCTACAACAGCAGGTCAGAAGCTAGGAAAACTGTGGCGAATAACTCACTTCCTGACTGTTCAAAGACTATCCACCTTATACATGGCACAAGTCAGGAGTGTGATGGAATACTCCCCATTTGACTGGATGAGTGCAGCCCCAACAACACTCAAGAAGCTTGACACCATCCAGGGCAAAGCAGCCCACTTGATTAGCATTACATCCACAAACATTCACTCCCTCCACTACCGACGCTCAGTAGCAGCAGTGTGTACTATCTACAAGTTGCACTGCAGAAATTCACCAAAGATCCTCAGAAAGTATCTCATATACCCACAAACACATCCATCTAGAAGGACAAGGGCAGCAGATATATAGGAACACCACCACCTTCAAGTTCCTCTCCAAGCCACTCACTATTCTGACATGGAAATATATCACCATTCCTTTACTGTTGCTGGATCAAAATCCTGAAATTCCCTCCCTAATGGCATTGTGGGTTGACCCACAGCAGCTGGACTGCAGCGGTTCAAGAAGGCAGCTTACCACCCCTTCTCAAGGGCAACTTGGGATGGGCAAAAAATACCGGCCAGCCAACGATGTCCACATCCCACAAATGAATAATAACAATGAGTCAGCCATTGTGGATCTGGAGTCACATGCAGGTTAAACCAGGTAAGGATTGCTATTAACTTTTCTAAAGGACATTGCTGAACTAGATGGATTTTTGTAGTAGTCAACAATGGTTACAGGGTGTTTTATTTTAATGTTAATTAGTTTTAATTTCTGAACTTCTTCAACTGATTCTAAATTTCATCATTTGCCATGGTGGGATTTGAACCCATGTCCCCAGGACCTGAATTTGGGCTTCAGGAATGCTAGTCCAGTCACATAACCATTATCTCACCACCTCCACAAAATCTGACAATTACAGCTCGATCATTTAGAATGGAAATCCAATAACACTTTTTCCATGTGAAGGGCTGTGGAAATCTGGAATTCTAACCTAATGGTTATAGATATTAGGTCAACGACAATATTCAGTATTGAGATTAATGGATTATTTTTGAACAGTCAGGGTATTATGTTGAGTAAGTAGAGTGGAGATGCAGGTTAGCCATGAATTAATTGAATAGCAGGACAGGCTGGATGAACTATTTGTGTTCCTAGATTTTCCCACTATCCCAATCCCACAGTGCTTGCTTTAGTATGAAGTAACAGCATTATCTATTTCATATCTATGAATCCTTCATCCTATTTAGGGTTATTTGATAGGTTTAATCTTAACATTATTCAGAATTTATCCTTAATTTGTGACTCCATGTTTATACCAGTACTAGTAACACTGCTGGCACATGCCATCTACCATTCTAAGGCTAGTGATGATGCCAAGGTTTATGTTGACTTCCTCCAGTTGTTGCCAACATTGCAATCAAGAGAGTTTGCACAGCAAGACAGCACTAATAAAACTGCAACCAATATAGTACCTTCTCCCTTGCCAAATGGATGATTCAATTATAAATCATGACCACTAACTCTTTGAGCAATTATGCAAAACAGATATTATATTGCTCTAAATTACAGAATGTAACCTTTAACAAGTGAATCAAATTATTTAATACTCACCACCTCTTCATGTGTTGCATTTTCAACATTAATACCATTAACCTGCAATAAAACATTCATATTTATATACATATATCTTGCCACATCTAATATTGGTCCAGTCAAATGTATACGGCAAATTTTAAACAGAGAAAGGTATACAACCAACATAAATGATTTACTAACTTGCAGCACAGCATCTCCAACGAATAACATCCCAGTCTGGTCAGCTAGGTATCAAAAGAGAAAGGAAATGTGTGTCAGAAATTGTGGTGGCAGGTTATATGCAGACAAGATGTTTCTAAAGGAGACAGTTTAGAGACCAGTGTTACTTCCACTTCTAAAAGAGTGTTGACAATTGTTGCCTGCAAATCTGACCAAAATAATTGGGGTGGATCATGACTTTCTGCATAAGAGTAAAATGGTTGAGTGAATGCTGGCAGTCTTTCTCCCATCCTCTGGATTGATTATTATCTTTGATGGAAATAAAAACCTCCAGAGGTGCAAAACTGGTTGCCAACTCACTGTCATCCTTTTCACACTACTGAATAAAATCAAAGACCATCAAAAGACTTCAAAAAGTGAAGATGAGGCTGCTTTGGAGACTGAGGAACATTGTGAACAGTTAAATACTTCCACATCCTAATAAATAAAGTTGAAGTGTAGCCCACATCATCAGAATCGGCAGTTACAGATATTGATTAGCTTTATTCACAGCTGTACAAAGTATGAAATATGTTACACTTTTTTTTGTCCTACAGGAGGTAGTAAATTGAATAAATGTTGAAAGAGAAGATCAAAATTAGTTGAATTTCAACAGGAAAAAAAATAACATAAATCAATCTGAAAGTCCCAATGTTGTTTATTTTCATGCTTGCAAGTAAAGTAAAAATTAGAGTGATGAATAAATCAATACATTTTTATTTAAGAAACAGAAAATCTGATACTGGAAGGTGCCTGTAAAAATGCTTATTTTCCTGTAAATGTTTTGCATTTTTAATTATTGTTAGTACAAATTAGTTAATACTCGACCATAATGAACCAATTTGGGAATCATACTATTTATCATTGGCATCCTCTAAATATCCTTTGCAGGTTTGGAGCCATTAAGGACAAGTAGGCATTGCACGTGGAGAAATACAAACATTATACAAATATTGAAGTATGTACAATTAAAGGACACAATAACATTAAAATCACTGTTGTAAAATGTATAATTAACAGAATTTTTTACCAGCCCATATGTTGCAGTTTTCTTAATGAGAATGGAGACCAATATTGTAATCATTAACTTATCTGCTTCCTACAAGTATTTCCAAGACAGCTTGTGTGAGGGATACCAGAAGTATGACTAATTCTATGTAATATAGCTAGTTCAGTTTAAATATGTGAAAAAAATGCATGTGGTCTTGTTAGGAATCTGTAAACAATAGAGACAATGCGACACCTGTTAAGTTTGTATAGGCAAACGTTAACAGTCGTACTGCAGCTGGCACATCCCAGACAAAAACAGATGACTAACCAGGTAACCTGCACTTGATGGTACTGCTAGAGCATGATGACAATGGGTTTCTATTGTAAAAACATCAGGTAGGTGTAAGATGAACCTTTCTTCTTGATGAAATTTCAATCTCAGCATGGGAGAAGTGGAAACAAATGCTTTAAATTGTTTGTACCTATTAAGGGCTGTTAAAGACTAACACAATCCATGTACAAGTCGTCATGAATGGCCATAAACAGAATTCTCAATTTTCAGTGGTTTATTGGTGTATTGGGACATAATTATAATAATGCAGTTTAAAATTATCAGGATTCTAATGGAAAAGTTTGGGATAAATTTATCCCACTGCTGGGAGGGTCATTAATCAGAGGGCACAGATATAAGACAATTAGCAAAAGAACTGAGAGAGAACAAGGAGAATGAGCTTCATGTTTAAGTTGTTATGATCTGGACTGTACTGCCTGAAAGGGTGATGGGGGTAGTTTCAAGACTAAACTTCAAAGGGAATTTCATCTACACTAATGAAGGAAACACTTACAGAGCCATGGGAAAAACTTTGAGGAGGTAGATTCAGCTTGTACGTTCAAAGTTCCAGTACATGTACTATGACACAAATAAAACTCTATCAGTCAATGAAGGTCATATGTCATTGTGTCAGAATTAAATGAAAATTGCTATTATCCATAAAAGAGGGGATTTCTTATTATGTTAAACTTCAACCCACAGATGAAGTACAACCAGCCTGCCCAGAAAGAAAGATTCTCAGAGTTCAATAGCACACCAATTTCAAAACACAGAAAGGATGCTAATGTACGTGAAAGTTCTCCATCTAAAGGCATACGACAAAGCGTTCTGCGAGTTCATGAAAAAAAAAATGAATTGAGGTATCAAGAGAATAACAATAATATAGCTCCAAAATGTAATGCAACATCATGTTAAAGAGATTGAGCTAAAATCTGAACCCAGTGATTGAAATTAGAGATGATTTTTTGAATAGAATCCTTACACTGTGGAAGTCGCCCATACAGACCATCAAATCTACACCAACCTTCCACGGAGAATCTTAGCCAGACCCACTCCGTCCCTGCAACCCCACATTTCCCGTGGCTAACCCACCCACACCCCTGGACACTATGGGCAATTCAGCATTGCCAATCCACTTAACCTGCATATCTTTGGCCTGTGGGAGGAAACCCACACAGACACAAGGAGAATGTGCAAATCCCAAACAAACAGTCAGCCATGGGCAGAATCAAACACAGGACTCTAGCACTACAATTCAGCAACACTGTGCTGCCTTGATGATGGTCCCTGCTGAATGAAAATAACCCAAAGAGTTTCATTTTCAATACATCTCAACTGAAAGTGAAAAAGAAGGCAATTAGCCTGCAGCAATGAGGAAGAGCTAAATTTTAACAAAAGAATTGGTGGTGATTTCAGGGAGTTTTATAGAAGCTTTCTCTCTGTGAGTTCTACTCAGTTAACTCCCTCAGTTCCTAGCTGCTCACCTCATGATACACGCACCACTCTACCACACCACACTCACATTTTTGTATGCTCATCAGCAACAGAAATATTAGCTGCTGGCAGGATCTTCTGGGATTCATGTCAGAAGTGTTTTATGATTCCTCCTGAAGCTAATCCCTGCCAAGTCAGATTCCAGACTGAAATCTGGCTTGATAGATCATCTTTTGTTTTATTTTTGGCTTTAATGAATTTGTGTCTCACAGACACAAACGTGCAGTTCTGCAGATTCAGGTTGAACAACAAAACAGAAGTTTATTATGGGTAAGAAAGAAAGCTAAAATATCAAAAAACAAACTGTTTACTTCTAAAACAAATTTAAAAATTAAAAAAAAACATTGTGAAATACAATTCTATTAATCCTAAAACATTTCTTTGCATTGCTCGCACCAGACAGAATTCCTTTCTCTTTCAAATCTACAAGGCTTAATTTTACTGTGGCTTTGTTGCCAATCTCAGAATCTTTCTGGAGGCTTCATAAAATTGAATTGTGACTTTCCAGCTTCCAATAGTCTTCAGGATTTTAACTAAATACTTCTGGTCTGGAACATTTAAACTATACTCCTCACATTGAGGTAAATCTTTTATTAACTGTTCTGAAGCTCGCTCCTTTTCTCAAGAACAACTATTGGCACAGAGATATTCACCTCAGTAGTAATCTATCTACATTTTACATTGAATCACATTCTGGTGAGTACAGCACTAATGTGGGCTTGAAGTGAGAGAAGGATGACAAGGCAGAGGCCTCCAATAGAAGGACTTCTGGACAACAGATCTTTTCTGAGCCTATTCCTGACAATGAGCCTCCGGACTCAGCATTAATGAATTGGTGGAAACGTAGAGATAAGCAGGGGAATGTCTGTCATGAGTACCAGAGATCATGTACAGACTGCAACAAAGGGCAGAGGAATATACCCTGGGTCAACTTGATGCTGTAGGTTCTGCCTGCATGGACCATGATTTATGGAGAGCCAGGTCCAGCAGAATAATCTCCATCTATGGGATAAACGCAAAGACCTTCACTCGATCACTTAAGATACAGATGCATTAATTCAATGGCTAGATGAGAGGAGCTGTGAGATAGTGGCCTCCTTCTTGGTGCCCATTCCATCAAAGGATGAGGGAGATGACATTACAACCAACAGGGAAGAGGAATGACAGTCAGGCATCCAGAGATTATCTCCTAAACACACTTTGAGAGGTCCTCTGCCATACAACATCCCCTCTACCAGGAACCAATGACTGCAACAGATCAGGCCAAGGAGGGTGTAGAAAGCTCACCAGCAGACTGGTATCCTTCATTTCCAGAGCACCAGAGTACACCTGCCAAAGGCATAGGAGGCAAACTAGTGAAGAAGTTAGCAGAGGTCCTCCAACTAAGTAGACTGGGAAGACAAGTGAGAGTTGGACTTATTTGCAAGATTAACTCATCTGTAGACAGAATACCTCAAATAGCTATCTGACCTATAAAAATGGGTATACTAATTAAGGGATTCCTGATGAGCCTAATACGTGACATAAATTCAAATCTGAACATTCAGTTTGTTAGGCTATGAGAACAAAATGCAGTTCTTGCTCCTTTAATAAGAAATAATTCTTGACATATATAAATTCATGATTATCATTAACATTATCTTGCAGACAGTGGCATCAGTTCATTTACTTTCTATCTGAGTTCTTCCTTTCATGGGATTTGACCTGTAGGGCACTATCTCTACATTGAAGACAATGTAATCTAGGATGGAATAAGCATCTTCTTGTATTCTGGGCCAGATATTGGTGACTTTTAAGCATGCATTTCTTCAATATTGTTGAAGGCATACTAAGTGCATACTAGTGTGATGATTCCTGATCCAAATCATTAAATTGCTTCACACCAATGTAGAGAAAAGCATTGAAGATCAGTTTAATTGATGTCACAGGATTCCTACAGTGCAGATAGAGGCTATTCGAATCTGTCCCAACCCTCAGAAGAGCATTCTACCAAGATCCACCTCCCCAAGACCCGTAGCCCTGCATTTAGCACAGCCAATCCACCTGTGGGAGGAAACCTACGCAGACACATGGAGAAAATGCAAACTCCACACAGACAGTCGCTCAAGGCTGGAATGAAACCTAGGTCCCTGGCACTGTGAGACAGTACTGCTAAGCACTGAGCCACCATGCAACCCAATCAACACATCTTGCTTTCATGGAACATAAAAT